GTTCCAGAGAACCAGTGTACTTGTAACTGAATGGAAACACTGTTCCAGCAGTTTCCAGAGTAATTTGAATACTGTCAGTGCTAAAAACCTGTGAGTCAACTCACCCTAACTTGTCCTTTCCCATCACTTTCATCAGATTTACTGCTCACACATGGGCCTAGCTTATGAGAATAAGGCTTCGACTACTTGCTGTAGAAACTGTCACAATGTTCGAAACATGTGTTCATAGGATACATTGACATGTTGTTCATGTGGAAAAAGGTTAAAGATAAGTAAGATTGTTGTGATGTAAGATTATGATATCTTCATAGGTAATATTGATACTTTCAGTGATATTCTTCTACAAGGCAACCAAATGACAGTTCCGATTCTTGATGCTTTATCCAACCTGGCCTTGAAACCAGAACTTCTAGCCGAGGTATGGCTCAATATTAACTTACACAATAATTATTGATAGTTGGTATTTGAAAGAACTTTCACAGTCTTTCAATAAGGCCAAATTCTGATTGTATGTGTCTGTAATCTCCCGAACATTCCACACTCCCGGGGATTTCGGGGAAGATAAGGTCCCCAGTAGCCCATGCTTGTTCCTTCCCAGGATAAAGAGGAACACGTTATCAGGCTCTGTGACTGACTGGATGTCATTGTATCCCAATGCGTGGATCGATGCTCGTCCTCTCATTCACGGGTTTGTCAGGTTGAGACTTGATTAGTTACAGACCACTGTGGTATAGCTGAAACGTCTTACTGCAGCATTAAACACTTCAATTCCCTGCCCTGCCACCAAACATTACATCCTATCTGTACTGCAGTACATGTCCGTATTATTGGATGATGAGTCAAGGAACAAACAGAAGTCTGTTATAAAATGAATTTAAATGTTGAATCTGAAATGAATAAAGAATTTGTCAGAAAAACTTCATCACTGTTGTAACTATGATGTTTCTTTGTGTAGGTGCGAGGTTCTGTTCTGCAGACATTGTCCTCTGTCGAGATGGATGATCTCCCTGTGGTGGTCAAGTTTCTACTCCAGACGGTCACACCGCAGGATTCACTTGAGGTAACAGACGTGTTTAGTTGGCACAGACAGTCACACTGTTGGATTTACTGGAGGTAGCAGACGTGGTTGGCCGTGTGCAGACAGTCACACTGTCAAGATTTACTAGAGGTAGCAGACGTTGTTGGTTGTGTGCGAACAGTCACACTGTCAGATTTACTAGAGGTAGCAGACGTTGTTGATTGTGTGCGAACAGTAACACTGTCAGATTTACTAGAGGTAGCAGACGTGTTTGGTTGTGTGCGAACAGTCACACTGTCAGATTTACTAGAGGTAGCAGACGTGTTTAGTTGTGTGCAGACAGTCACACTGGTGTATTCACTAGAGGTAGCAGACGTGTTTAGCTGTGTGCAGACAGTCACACTGTAGGATTCCCTGGCGGTAGCAGACGTGTTTGGTTGTTTGCAGACAGTCACATTCAAGGATTCACTAGAGGTAGCAGACATGTTTTGTTGTGCCCAATCACACCCCAAATTATTGATGACGTATTTATTATCTTGATTGTTAACATGCATATCTATTTCCGTAGATATATTACAAAATGCATCCATCATCCAGTTTATCTTTTTCAACTTTCAACAGATTGTAACGGAAATTCGAGCAAGCATTGATTTTAAACCTTTACCTGCTACCCCAAGCAAGTCCAGCAAAAAAGACAAGATGAAAAAGAGGTGAGAGAAGTAATTTATATCAAGCAAGAATCTATTAGCAGATATGTCTTCTTCCTAGACTGAAACCATTTATTAATGATAAAGTGGATAATTTTCAAGTAGTAATGGCTCAATTCTTACAATATATATTTTGGCAAAGATTATAAAATGTTTGATAAAGATTGAGTCAAATTTATGAAAACAAGAAAATTAATGAAAAAAGCAATGGCAACATCTGGGAACTTGAAGATATGGTCTAAGGGGAGATAACTCTGATTATTCTGAGACAAGTACTGTGGATGGTGGAGAGCAACATCCATTGTCCAGTGTAATCCCTGTTCTACTATGATTAATATACCAGACCCGTTCATCGCCATAGCTTCATTTCGAGCCCGATTTGAATGACAGGATGCTAAAACATAGCAGTCCAGTCAAATTACGCTGATGAGAGGGAGAATTTCTGTGCTATAAGTTAGTGAGGAGGAAGATGGGAGAATGAAGCTGTCGTGGTGAATTGGACCAAGGTATTTGTCACAACAGAATGGCTATAAATACAGGCAGAGAAGGGAGTGATGCATAAATAGTGTCATTACTCTCACATGGGACACACTGCTGACACTTGATAAACTGCATGCACACACACTGGGTGTCTTGTGTTGTAGGACAGCATCAGATGGCAGTGTGGAGAAGGGGAACGAAGCACTGACATTGGATGCCATCAAGTCCGGCATTCGCTTCCAGAAAACTGTGTCCGAAGCTTGGATAAAGGTAGTGCCTTAAAGGCCAAGTTGTGTTCCATATTTCAGGGAATGTTTGGATGTACACATCAGTGAGATACATACTTGTGGTAACACATGTGGTGTCTCCTTGGGCAAGTGACTTTGTTTGAAATGTGTCTCTGTTATTCCCAGCAGTGAATGGGTACCCGGTAGGATGAGATGGCAATCTGATTGTTAACCTTCTAGCGCCTCACATGCAGCTTGGGTTGTATACTCCCCAGGGAGCTGAGAATGGTTGTTAAGTGCACGCTGATCCACTGAACCAGGGTAATAATAGTGCTGTGCTTTATAGCACAATATAAATGGCCTATTATTATTATTATCATTATTATTATTATTATTATTATTATAGGCAATCGACAACCTGAAGGACCCAGCTGATCACAAGGTGATTGACATCTTTGTGCTGCTGATTCTCCACGCCACGAACCGCAAGAAGCCAGTGGAGAGCCTCTTCAGGAACAAGATCCGTTCAGGGGCATTTACAGAACCTCTGCTGCAGTCAGCCTTCACTGACCATGCTCAGGTGGGTTATGGTAAAGGGAAACATCTAAGACCTGCATCACTTCTTGCTTTCCTGTACCATGGGGTACACAGCACTGCCTCTCATATTCCTTGGGCATTCCTCGTTTGTTTGTTGTTTACGCCGCACTCAGCAATATTCCAGCTATATGATGGAGGTCTGTATATAATCAAATTTGGACCAGACAATCCAGTGATTGACATCATGAGCATCAATCTACACAATTTCGATACGATGACATACAACAAGCATGGGTTGCTGAGGACCAAGAATCTTCACGGGGCCACATTCCTGGCAATCAATACTAGCTGTCCTGTTCCTGTTCAGATGTGTAGTGACCGCCTCCATGGTCTAGTGGTAGAGTGTCCGCCTGGAGAGCGAAAGGTTGGGGGTTCGATCCCTGGCTGCTTTGTACCAAAAGACGTTAATAGTTGGTACTTGTTGTTACCCTGTCTGGCACTCGACATTAAAGGGCTAAAACAAGGACTGGTAGGCTCGGAGTCAGTATACTGTGTCTGAGTGGGGTATTCATGTTAAACTGCAGCATGGTATCTCAATGGGCTAGTGCTATGCAATCGGCTTTCGTCTGGACCAGTACAAGCAGCCACATACACACACAAACACATAGTGCATACATGTAGCTCTATAAGTGAAGTTAAACCCCATGTCGTGTTGTCTCCAGATCCTGAGAGGGTACTTCCCGTCTGTGCAGTCGCTGGCTGAGGTGTTACTGAGGTCCCCAGAGCCAGGGATCTGCTTCTTCGCCTCCGCTATGTATCGACACGCCTTTGCTGTGTTTGACAGCTACTGTAAACAGGTATAATCGTCTTCAAGGTCTTAACTATCTAAATGTCTGTGGGAAGATGCAGACATGGTTGCCTTACTTCTGCAGAGTAAGCAAATCACCTGAACCTCACTGTTGAACTTTTGGGGTATCAATTACAGGTGCAGATGCTAGAGGTGAACTGCTACATCGATACATCGGTGCATCGTGAGTTTTCATGCGACTATCCCATGCATGATACTGTTTTTTTTTCTGCATCGATACAAGACAATATACTTTCTGAAATATATATCTTTCTTATCATTTCATGACGCCTGGCGTTGTTGTCTCTTAAATATTGCAAAATTCGTTGTAATTAGTGTTTCAATTTCACTACTAAATATAGCTGCTACGAACATGTGTACAAAGCAGACTTCCTTTTGAACCTGCCAAGTTGCCACGCAATTTGATGTGAATATGCATATCACGATGAGTGTCGTTTTTAAAGATTTTTAAACTTATCCTATCTCACGCTATGAATTTTTTCCTCCTCCTTTTGATCCTGGTGTGGAAATGTACTAGAAGTTTCCAGCTTAAAAAACATTTCACCCAAACTCATTCCAACATCACCATGGCCACTACCAAAACAAATGGGTCCCGCACTACGATCCTGTGCATTGTGACCCTAAGTGACCTGATCACCTGACACATCAATCTCTTCTCATCGCAAAGGTATGGGGAAAGTTGAAAGAGAATTTTTATTTGTTTTGTTTATTAATCTTCCTCTGCCAAATACATGAACACCCAGTTTGCAAAAACTGCAGGCCCAGTCAGTGAAGTTATCACAACGATGTTCACAGTATTCTAAATTATCCAAGGAAGATTTCCATAATTATGTTTGCAAGTGTCACACTTGACGAGCGATCGAAGTCTGCCTCTAAAGACGCAGAACATTGGCGTTCACCTAAAGAGAAACCAAAGAGAGTTACCCAGAAGGCAGTCCATTCTCAGGTTGCTGTGGTCAATCAGCCCATGTCGTCTACCAACACATCACTATTAGTGGAGGGCGACATCTTGTATGATAGTTTTCTGTATGAAGATATTCCTACCAAATCTAACACCATGCCCGGTTCCTGTGGGCTTGACAACGCCCAAGTGGTTTCTTCATTGGCTACCGAAGATCATCACAGTGTTCTTACTAAAGATGAATCTTCTACACAAGATATGACAATCACCACAAGATATGAGAGTCGTCCTACATCTCCCACACTGCAACGTATGGACAAATTACGGATGGGATTACTGATCCCTCACAGAATAAATCTGCCCCCAGGCTGTGCAGGGACAATCACCGACTGCTATGAACAATGTTTCATGCTCTTCCTCGCTTACTCCATAAGGAAGAAAAAGTCGGGATCTCACGCACCCTTATAATAAGGATTGATAGTCAGATCAACATTGACCCAAGGGCCTGATTGATCGCGGCAGAAGGAATGACATTGACCATCGGATTGATATCACTCTGAGGAGGACTCTCAATCAGACAAGCGGATCAACATGACATTTGGATTGACTTCATACTGAGGAGCAAGGTCGATCAGAACATTCAGATCGCTATCGACATTCGGATTGCCATGGACATGAAGACAGGTCACATTTGGATCCACAGCGACATACAGTTCGACATCTGCCAGGGGATCTACTTCGACATGTCGATTCTGATCAACCTGGGGATCGACATTGCAGCTGGGATCGACATCGATGCCCCTCACATATGGTTAGCTATCAACATATCGACTTCTACACTTTTGCTTCTTCACAGTTCCGCCAGCCTGTCGGAAAGAGAATGATGTGGCAGGTTATCATGGTTATGTCAGATAATCAGGTCGCTTAGGGTTGCAACACGCGGGATTGTAGTGTGTGACCCATTTATTTGGGTCGTGACCATGGTGATGCTGGGAAGTGTTTTTGAAGCTGGAAACTTTGTTCTAGGACGTTTGCACGCAAGGATCGAGAAAAGGAAGAAGAAATGCATAGTGTGAGATAGGATAAATGTAAAAAAAAAAAAAATTTATAAGAATATTTTCAATTTTTCTGGGAGCATTTTTGTTGTTTGAAGTAAAAAAGTTTAGATGTGTGGTCAAAGGGGAGGTAACTCCATAATCCAAGCCACAAGAACTCATCGAGTCCTAATGATTTGAACTTTCTTCAAAGATGTTTAATATGTGTGTAACTAACCATTTGTGTTGACTCTCCAGGAGATTGTTGGGAACCTGGTGACACACATCGGCAGTGGTTTTGCAGGCGAGATCGACAGCTCTCTGGACATTCTCTCCGACCTGGTACACCACCATCTCTCCAGCATGGCTCCCTTCGCTATCTTTGTCAAGGTTAGAATAGACCCTTTTTTGGAAGAAACACCATCTAAATGATCCAGTTCATAGTATGCTTAGCATTCTGCCAAGAAATATATGATAATTTAGCTGCAATATCATGATCAGTTTTCTCATAGTACTTTAGTTTTTATACAGAAAATATCACGGAAAATATGCATGAGATCCACATTCAGGATGGCAAACATGGAGAATCTGTCTGTTTGTCTGTCAAGTGAAACCTTGTTAATTCGTATGAAGCAGTTCTCAATTAAATATTCCGGATTAAGCCTAAAAACATAATAGTCTTGGTTCTCAGGCTCTGCCCACATCATCAGAAAGGCTGCCACACATTTTGTTTTTAATTCCATTTTTTATTTATTTTTATAAAAAATCCTAATACTTAAGAACAATGCGGTCCAATATTGTGTGCAGTTACTTGCCTTGACATGCACACTGGTTTACATCTCGTGTTATGGTCATGACGGCAACAGGAGTTTGTATGCTTGTTTATGTAGGGAACCCCTTTCCCAGGTTGATGGTACACAACTGTTTATCCGGTGACATACTAGTTTGATCAAGCCAAAAAATCACCACCTGACCGCACTATATTTTCAAAAGTCTGCCTGAGAACCAATTCTTTTATTTTTGTAAGCCTAACAAATAGATCGTTTAAAGCTAGACTTTTATGTTGAATGCAGATGTTTCTAAGCTATTATGAACATGACTTTAGAATCTGCATGTTTTGTTTCTTACAATTGATGATGGCGCCAGCTGCCAGGCTGTACCTTGATAGAACAGCCTATGGATGAATCATTGATACACCGTCCCTGTTAGATACTGTTCTTAATACAGTCAGTTTATTTCAAAATGTATCTAACCCTCTTTCGCTTTTGGAAAACGTTTTGAAATACGCTCGTAATTAAGACAGTATCTTACGTGACTCGTTTAGTAATCTATGTATGTCTAAATATATATACCGGGTATTGCACATGAATTATCTGCAACAGTAAATATAAATGCTATATACAAATATATATCTGAACCATTGTGTAATTTCAGGGATTTCTTGACTACTTCGACAACCGTTCAATGACGCAGATTCGTAAACTTTATGCCATGTTGAGTCGTCTAGCTTTCCACAACCCCGATGATGGTGGACTTATACAGGTCAATATGAACTAACATTTTACCTTGATTGATATTGAATTACCTACATCGTGAAGTTATTGATGCCATGTACAAATACCTCTGTTGGTGATTCCTAGTCAATATTCAGAGCTGCCAACCATTATGCTTTGGCATAATAATTATGCTTTTGAGCCTAAAATTACGTTATTACACTTATCCACCCCAAATTATGATATTTTACATTTTTTTCACGAATTATTTACATGCATATTATATCACGAAGAGCAAATTGTAAATGCACCGATCACGTGAAGCATTCTACAGGGAGCTAATTGCATGTACAACGATATATCTTTGGAACTCGAAAAACCACATTGTCTTTCTGCAATACAGTTAATTTCGTCACATGATTAATTTTCGAAATCTGTAGAGCTTTGACAATGTGTTTCGACATGAATGCAGTGTTTCCGATGCCGTTTTTTGTAGCTCCCGCACAGCAACTTGGATTAAATGCTTTCATAACTGATTTATAATCTATAATTACCAAAGTTGTTCAGAATACAACATGGTTGTTTGAAATGTGGCCCCTATTTTTGAGTACTTTTTTTATTTTGATGTCCAAATGTCGAAGCAAAAACCAGCATTATGGCATGGTACTCTTAACATTACTCTTTTCCACATGAAATTATGCTTTTCTACCCAACTGATTACTCCAGGGCTTCATTTAGGGTTGGCATCTCAATAGTTGTTGTTATTTGGAAAGGCATCATCTGCCTATTGCAGTCTATGCCATTTACTTTTGAGCCAACTTGTCTTTTAAGCATCACTCACTGTGATACTATATTACTCAAAAGAAGTTAACTGATTCTTTCATATTACTGTAGTTAATCTGTCGTACCATGACATAAGAGAACACCTGACTGTTTTGACCAAAGAAATGTTACTTTTGGCTTCAAATTTGGACTAGTGTCTAATGTGTTTTTGTTTATGATTGACTTATGTTATATGTTACATATAAAGGTATTACTTGCCGTTGATGTGAAGTGTGTGGTTCCTGGAATTTCATTTTCATTTTCCTAGGCCTGGAATAGTTTTAGAAAAATAGAAAATTGTTATAAGGCATGGAAAAGTCATGTAAATATTTTTACCCCAGTATTTTTTTCCAGTGATTTGTCAGTGAGAGGGCAATAAGTATAACCTAGCCATCGACCATTTTCTGTATTCTGAGTTGAAGTTTGAATTGTGTTGATGTGATATTATGAAAAACAGGCCTAATACTGAGGTAAAGACATGGAAATGTGTCCTGCTTTCAGGATGATCTTCACATCATCATCAGGAAACAGCTGTACAACAGCAGCCTCAAGTAGGTGGAACAGTCATTGTGTTTGGGCTGGGCTAGGTAAATCAGATACCCACATGTACCCACAGGACTACCCGTCCCGTGGTTGGTCACGTGATATATTGTTTAATGACAAAAATTAACTAGAACTATATGGGTATACTACAAGACACTAATGTTAACATTTCTTTCTGACTATGCATAAATTCCTTCTGACTTTCATATGTTTGAATAAGGATAAAACTTCAGTAAACTTCAGTGTATGCATGACTAGATCGTTTTATACGTGCATGTAAATACATTTTGCCAGGGCTACGGTCAAACTTTTCCCACTCAGACGTTTTGTACCTATCTCTTGAGACCAACAGCGGGTACCTGGGTAGGGTTGGGTAATAGGGGGGTGGGTACCCGGGTAGTAAATCTGGACCCATCCCAGCCATCACCGTTTCTTATGGCTGATATTTTAAGTGGAGTGAGTTTGGTTTAGCATTGCTTTGAACAGTGTTTCAGTTATACCACAACATGTCAGCTTAACATGAGAGAGAAAGCTGAGCATGCTCAGTCGTTTACTTCTTTGATCAAACCCACCAACATGGGAATGGTCCTCTTAAGCCAATAAATATCATTAGAGCAAATGTGTGAATGAAACCCATGATCATAGGATTGTGGTGCTTTAAACACCAGCCACCCGTGCCGTGCCCCTCGTGTAATTGGAAATTCTATGGTGGTTGTATTGCAATTGGTGACATAGTTACTTCTGAAGTCATTCCCCTAGAGAATCGGGTCCATGTGTGTAAGCATCGACTATTGTTGTAAATGTGTTGTAAGGATGTGAAATGTAGCTGATTGATGTCCTTGTACCCACTGGTGTGGATCAACAACCAGTTTACCGGGCCAAGACTGGATTATTACGGTATGCCCCGCCACGAATGGGTGCTTTCCATCCGTCCTTCCATCCGTGTCAAAGAACTAAAAAAACATAACAGAAATCTTAACCAAACTTGGCACATGGATCGGTCTGGTGGTGAACTGGTGCTTTTTGATAGTTGGTGATTTTTAAAAAAAAAAATTTTTTGAGGGGAACAATTTTGACTTAGACTGAAAATGGCAGTAGTGCTCGTTTCCAGAGCAGATCTTGAAAACCAAGCAATATTTCTTGCCTTGACTGACATACTATAGACCACACTTCAATTCAGTATTCAGGAGAGGAACAGAGAAAGCTGTTGAGAAACAAATTGTATTGTTATTGTTAGTTTGGCGAGTTGTGTGCAAGTTACAGTATGGCTACTCCAGACTGACATGAACACATGGACCTGCACTGTGTTGACTGTAGGGTGACCACTGGTGTCTGGAGGCTTTGTGTTGTGTTGGCCATGTTTTATATAAACTCTGTGATTTCTTCATCGTTTCAGGTATAAACGCATGGGAGTGATTGGTGCCATCATGGTTGTCAAAAGTATTGCCTACGTCCGGTAAGTGTACGCAGGGAGTGGGGGTTGTGGCTTACATGGATCTTTGATCATACTGTCAACCACTGGTTGGTCTTGATCTGTTTACAAGCCATTGTGATATTGTAGTGTCGTGTAGTGTTGTGTGTGGTGTGGCGTGGTGTGGCGTGGCTGGTAGGGTTGCTGACTGCTGTTTCAAACAACACTTACTTATACACTACTCAATATATATATTTTAATTACCAGTACGTCATGCAGGCTGAATCACAGTTTTTCATCCTCCTCGTCTTGTGTGTTTCTGTATCAACTTCATGATAAATTACGTATGTCTTACATTATTGCTCCCTGGTGAGATGGTAATATGATTGCCTTATAAGGAAACTTGGGTGGTATACTGCCAAGGAGACAGAGAATGAAATTTGAATTTCTAGTGGTGGTGACCACCTCTGTGGTCTAGTGGTAGAGCGTCTGCCTGGAGAGCAGAAGGTCCGGGGTTGGATCCCCGGCCGCGTCATACCAAAAGACTTTAAAAGATGGTACTTGTTGTTACCCTGTCTGGCGCTCGGCATAAAGGGGCTAAAACAAGGACTGGTCGGCTCGGAGTCAGTATACTGTGTCTGAGTGGGGTATTCATGTTAAACTGCAGCATGGTATCTCAGTGGGCTAGCACTATTAAATCGGCATCAGTCTGGACTAGTGCAATAACATTGGACGCAACGTTTAACCCAATTTCACCTCACCTGACCTCACTAGTGGTGGTAGTGGTAGTGGTAGTGAGAATGATATTTGAATTAGAAGTCATATCAGTGTTAGTATGCTGCCCAAGGAGCAGAGAATTAAATTTGAATTAGTAGAAGTGGTAGTAGTGGTGGTATCATTATTATAACCACATAATACAGCACTCCTGATGGACAGGTCATTTACTATGTTTTTACTGCATAAGTGTCAAGAATTAAGTTAACTTTCCCAACCTGAAATTGACTCGTCATCCCAAAACAAAACAGTGTTTTTGTTCATTTAGACTTGTTGTTGAATTGATATGCAACATCATCAAACAGTTCCCCTGCCGTGTTGCAGCTCTGACCAGTCTGAGAGCACCATCAGTGACGACAAGCTGAAGGAGGTGGTGCACCTGCTGCAACTGGTCCGAACCAGCAGCACTGGCAGCCCCGAGGCCACCTGCCTGTTTCTGGATGAACTGTCGTCTGTCATCAGTAAAGGCAATGTAGACCCTAAAGTTGTGGTAGGTGACCCTTACAGACATGGAGGTTATCCCATCCGTGTGTTCTCATATCACAACGTGTGTCAGAAGGGTTGTACTTCCAAAGGGAGTGCGAGGGATATTCATGTATTCTGAGAGTTTTTGTCATATCAATATAAAAAGTAGGCTACGCACACGTTTGTAACAATGAATATAAAATAGACACTATATTATTGCCTGTATTAAGTAGCTGCCATTAAGAAGTAATAATTTTTTTTTTTATTTAGGTTAGGTTACGTTTGCTGCTCGATTTGTGTGCTGATTTAATGTATCTGGTCTTAAATATACCTTTCTATGAGCAATGGTATTGGAAATTCTGATCACTGCTCTAGTTCTGATAGTAATATCTCTTATACTACCGATATGTATATCGATATATATATCGGTAGCATAAGAGATAATACTATTAGAACTAGAGCAGTGATCAGAATTTCCAATGTATATATATATTATATCTCAACTTGCATTCTAAACTTCTTATTCCTATGCTAGGAGACACAACAGACCTAGTTATTGAAATACTATTTTGTTGCTGGGGAGTAAATATGTCTACTTATATGTAAAAAATGTGAAATATGTGAAGACATGTTGTGCTGTGGTGAAATGTGTACCTGAGTGCCCCGGTGTGGAACAACCCAGCCACTTCACAACAGTTACTGTTCACAAGGGATGGGTATTGGAGGTTTAAACTGTATCACGGGGCCACAATATTTTGCAATGCACAAGGCCATATTGCAATATTTATCACGATAAATTGTATAATTCTAATTTTTAAATTCAGAAATAATCTGATACATTTAGGTATAAAGGTAAGTTCATAAATGGAACAAAACAAGATGCTGGTACAACATAATGTTTACTCAGTCAAAAAATACTATCTTTGGGGCTATCTTTGGGCCCCAGATTCTCGCTCTTGGGCAACGAAGGCATTTGGCGAGTATATAGAGAATCTCACCCGAGTGTCTTTTGATATTAAATATATCAACACGAGTTGACAAAAGTGGAAAAATTCCGAGGCTTGCCGAGGATTTTTGCCACGTTTATCAACGAGTGTTGATATATTTGATATCAAAAGACACGAGGGTGAGATTTTATTTATCATCCAACATCATTCTTCCAACTTTTTCAATTTGTAGACATTAATTAGCAGTGTCTTCAGTGTAAAAAGTACTGCTAACAGCTTCAGTAGCAGAGCCATTAGTGATGTCATTTGATTGTGACGTCATGGTAACCAGTGACGTCACAATGGTCTGCAAAGCATTGTGATGTATTTTCATTGCAGCGATATCTACAGTGTAGATATCACTTGATCTAATCCAAGCGATATCTCCTGTGGGAGCCAGTTTTGGATGATAAGTAACGTTAAGCACATGATAAAAATCCCAATTTGAAATCGCCCGATACATCAAGCACGAAAAAATGATATTGTGATACATATTGTGGAAAGAATGAACCTCAAGTTACCGATATACCTCACACCGTTACTATTTACTGTGTTGAAGATCTCAGTGGCAGTATTCCTGTTTCAGCACTGGATTTCTGAGAACATGATAGCAGATTTCCAGGATGATTTTGTGGTGGACGTTGAAGAGAGCTTCATTCAGCAGTAAGTGTGAGATGTGATAATTACATGTTGGAATCTCCGTAACTACTGTCATAACAGCAGGTGTTTGTGCAACAGAATGCTACGTGAAGGTGTTGGTCACCATAGTGAATAGGGGGCTGGATGGCCAAGTCGTCTAAGGCGCCGCGATTCGCTATGCAGAGTTGCGTCCCTTGGGCACGCCAGAAACCTATGATTGTGGGTTCGAATCCCGGTTCGCCCCAATTATGTTTCTAGGTTTGTCAGCACCATACCCGTGCTCGTGGGTTTCACCAAAGTGGTAAACGTCTGAGACCTGCATCATTTCGGCCTTTCCTCCCAAATAAAGCTGACACGCCATGATATAACTGGAATAATGTTAAAAGCGGCGTTAAACCCAACTCACTCACTCATTCACTCACTCATTCACTCATTATGTGAATACTCACTGGTCAAGTTGTATGACTTCAAAGAACGTGTTCATACTATGTCTGAATGTGCTTGTACATTTTGATGCTAGACCTGTTTACCTTGAATGAGATTCTGCCAAATTAAAACAAGATTGTTATTGTCGACCTATGATTCAGAAATATGGTGTGTAAGTCTCCTGAAATGGTTCAGACAAATTGTGCAATTTGTATTCATCAGCTAAGCAAAGGGAGAGCACTCTCAGATTTCATCAGTTGAATCTATGATTCTTGGACCTGTTGCAGGGATCACATGGTTCCTCTACAAGATATGTACAATCTGAATGAGGACACGGACAGTTCTATAGCGATCAACCTGCTGCCCCTTGTAGTGGCTAATCACAAGAAGAAGGCCAACACAAAGGAAAGTGCAAGGTGGGGGAAACACTCAAATTATGCTGTGACGAGTTCATTGATTGTCATTACAAGTGTACACAATAATCTGATGGCAATGGTTTGGTAGGTATTTAGAAAATGTCGTATTTAGCTCATCCTGACACATACAAATTACTAATTGCTTATCTCATCTTATTCTGAAAAGGTAGTGGAAACTCCTGTGCTGTGTTCACAAGAACAGAGAAAAACATCTCACCCGAACGCACCCCTCAGCCGTGCAGCGCAACCAGATGCACATGACCAAACTGGTACACTTGTCACTATCTCATTTTTGCGCCAACTGCACACTATCTTCAAGACATCGCCAGAGAAGATATTGCCGTGATTCACCAGTTTTGACCCTTAGTGCTCGATCAATCGAAGATAACTAGATTCAAACTCGCCCCAAATCCCGCAGACTTGTAGATATCAGGTTACTGACACGTGACCACCTACCGAGAGTCCATGCTCCCAAGTTTTACTATGTAATTTGGATCATGAGTGAAAATGATTGTGTCAAGATTATGCCCTCCGAGTCAGTATACTGTGTCTGAGTGGGGTATTCATGTTAAACTGCGGCATGGTATCTCAGTGGGCTAGTACTATGAAATCGACATCAGTCCGGACTAGTACAAGCAGCCAAACACGTGCATCGATGTTGCTATATAAGTGAGATAATCTTGAATCTGACATTAAACCTAATTCAGCTCACCTCACCAAGCCATCCCCGCTTCTAGTATATGTGTTAAGGTTGTAAGTGTAAGCGAAATGAGAGGGTGACGAGTGTACCGGATTGTTCACAACTTCCGGTGCGGCTGAGGGGTGCGTTCTGGTGAGATGTTTTTCTCTGTTCTTGGGAACACAGCACAGGAATTTCCACTACCTTTTTGGAATGAGATCAGATAAGTAATAAGTATGAGTCAGGATAAGTATAAATGATATTTTAACCTTAAGAAATACATCTTTGCAACAATCAAGATATTTGGAGTTCAGTGGAGGTTGTGTGGAGGTTACTTCAGTGTAGTTTATTTTAAAATGCTTTTGTTTTATTTCTAAATTTTGATGTTTTCTGTTTTGGCTTTAAATTTGAGCAATTTAACCTCATAATGCAACATGTTGAGCCAGTTTGCACTAAGATGTGGCTGGGATTTCTATCAGGAAGGCTTTCAACCATCAGCCTCTAATCCAGCTCAGTAATTCTGCGACTATTCATCCACTAGGATGTGGTGTGTGAGTGTGTATTGTGGAATACATCCCATTCCAGAGAGCCGAACCCCACATGTCTGTCTCCACACTTCCGGCTGGTCCACATCTGTGAAAAGGTACAAAATGGCGGTGATCTGGAGGGCATTGATGCATTACTAGGTGAGTAGGAAGCTACATTGTGTCAGTGGTTCAAAGCTGATTAGCAAATTTGAATATAAAAAAGTTCTCAAGGTATTTTTAGCTTATGAACTATCTAGAAGATGGAGAGTAAAGAACAAAGTGTACATCTTTATGGATAACAACTTCTGATTTATTGCACATAGTGACGTCTCGATGTAGATGAGCAACCCACCAAAGGAGTGATCCATAAGATTCCTTGGGACTGTGGTGCCTCATGCATTGGTCAAACCTCCCGCCCAGTAGATACCCGGATTGAAGAACATAAAACTTCAACAGCCAAAGCAGATGACAACTTGGCCCTCTCAGACCACCAGCAAAAATTTTCAAGCAATTGAATTCAGTTTGACACAGTCCAGATCCACTCAACCAAACACCAGGACTTTAGTAAAAGAAAACTCTCAGAAGCCATAGAAATCTTCCGTCACAAACCTTTGATCAACAGAGATCAAGGGTATTTCATCTCGTTTCTGAAAGCTAATGAAGCAATTGGCCTTTGTAATTAGTATCCAATTGGCTTGTAACAATTTTTTAATTCTTTTTATCCTTATCCTTCCTGTACATCTGGCTGTGTGTCACGTATTAGCTGTAGTCTGTACTGACAACCATGTGTTTGTGGTAGGCTGCCCTCTGTACACAGTCAAGGAGGAGGTGTATGAGAAGAACGAGTGTCTGTCTGACTGTAGTCTGTACTGACAACCATGTGTTTGTGGTAGGCTGCCCTCTGTACACAGTCAAGGAGGAGGTGTATGAGAAGTACGAGTGTCTGTCTGACTGTAGTCTGTACTGACAACCATGTGTTTGTGGTAGGCTGCCCTCTGTACACAGTCAAGGAGGAGGTGTATGAGAAGAACGAGTGTCTGTCTGACTGTAGTCTGTACTGACAACCATGTGTTTGTGGTAGGCTGCCCTCTGTACACAGTCAAGGAGGAGGTGTATGAGAAGTACGAGTGTCTGTCTGACTGTAGTCTGTACTGACAACCATGTGTTTGTGGTAGGCTGCCCTCGGTACACAGTCAAGGAGGAGGTGTATGAGAAGTACGAGTGTCTGTCTGACTGTAGTCTGTACTGACAACCATGTGTTTGTGGTAGGCTGCCCTGTGTACACAGTCAAGGAGGAGGTGTATGAGAAGTACGAGTGTCTGTCTGACTGTAGTCTGTACTGACAACCATGTGTTTGTGGTAGGCTGCCCTCGGTACACAGTCAAGGAGGAGGTATATGAGAAGTACGAGTGTCTGTCTGACTGTAGTCTGTACTGACAACCATGTGTTTGTGGTAGGCTGCCCTGTGTACACAGTCAAGGAGGAGGTGTATGAGAAGTACGAGTGTCTGTCTGACTGTAGTCTGTACTGACAACCATGTGTTTGTGGTAGGCTGCCCTGTGTACACAGTCAAGGAGGAGGTGTATGAGAAGTACGAGTGTCTGTCTGACTGTAGTCTGTACTGACAACCATGTGTTTGTGGTAGGCTGCCCTGTGTACACAGTCAAGGAGGAGGTGTATGAGAAGTACGAGTGTCTGTCTGACTGTAGTCTGTACTGACAACCATGTGTTTGTGGTAGGCTGCCCTGTGTACACAGTCAAGGAGGAGGTGTATGAGAAGTACGAGTGTCTGTCTGACTGTAGTCTGTACTGACAACCATGTGTTTGTGGTAGGTTGCCCTCTGTACACAGTCAAGGAGGAGGTGTATGAGAAGTACGAGTGTCTGTCTGACTGTCTGTACTGACAACCATGTGTTTGTGGTAGGCTGCCCTGTGTACACAGTCAAGGAGGAGGTGTATGAGAAGTACGAGTCACTGTCCCACAAGGAAAAGGATGTGATCTGCACCACACTCTTCCACAGCCTGAACTGGTTCCGTGAGGTGAGTCAGGAACAGTGTCTCAAAGCTTCGCAATATCAATGACTTGAATAGTGATTTGTCTAATGCCTCAATTTCATGAAATATAATAACTCTATTATTCAGATACAGCTCAACATTATGTTTCTTTGTGTCCACCTATAAAATACCTAAATTACCCTAATGAATGATTTTTGTGAGATAAATCACATAACTGACATTAAACTGAACAGCATATTTTGTTGGGAAAAACTATTAACTGATCATAATCCTGATTGAGAATAGCGTTTATTTCTTTAGCAATTTGCAGACCTTTTTTTGCACATGGCAACTTGAGGCAGCATTTTTCTTTTTTTGGTTTATGGTTAAATTTCATTATCTAAGATATAAACAAAAACGTTACTGTTAACATCTTTTATAACAGTTAACCGAAAGCATTGCACAGATTCTGGCCACTGTAATCTCCTGTACTGAGGAAGGACGGTTTCACAGACACTGCATACACATGTCACATGCATTAAGGATGCTGCACTTTAAACAAAATAAGCCTTTGTTTTTAAGCAGACCCTGTGTAATGGGGGCTGTGTAATGGGGGCTGCGTAATGAGGGCTGCGTAATGGGGGCTGCCTCATGGGAGCTGCGTAATGGGGGCTGGGTAATGTAATGGGGGCTGTGTAATGGGGGCTGCCTCATGGGAGCTGCGTAATGGGGGCTGCCTCATGGGGGCTGGGTAATGTAATGGGGGCTGTGTAATGTAATGGGGGCTGGGTAATGTAATGGGGGCTGGGTAATGGGGGTTGTGTAATGGGGGCTGTGTAATGTAATTTGGGGCTGGGTAATGTAATGGGGGCTGGGTAATGTAATGGGGGCTGGGTAATGGGGGCTGTGTAATGTAATGGGGGCTGGGTAATGGGGGCTGGGTAATGTAATGGGGGCTGGGTAATGTAATGGGGGCTGGGTAATGGGGGCTGTGTAATGTGATTGGTTGGATTTTAGCTCCACCGCCCCTGCAGTTGGTTTTCTCAACTATGTGCTTATTACAGATGATATGTAGATGTTGTTTGTAACACAACCATAGTTGTGATTGAATGACTTGTGTGCTGGATTTCTTTATTAATGATTTGAATTTGACAGAACTTAGCGTGCATGTCCTCTGAGGCGGGAAAGATCAAAGGTTTTTGCAATGAGTAAGATGAATTCGAACTAACTCAGCACTTATCATATGTCATGATTGTGTCAAATCGCTTTGGAGGTCATGAACTCATGAAATGACTTTGGTCAAGGGTGCTCAGCAATTTTGATTTGCATTTGATGAAACTTTATATACAGGTCATGATTGGTCAAGGTCATAAAACCGGAAGTGCTCATAACTTTTGTAACAGCGGTATCACGTCTATGTGGAATGACAACAAATACTTGTAGGGGTTTCATGGGATTTCGTCTGTTCTATAGGGGATCCCACCACGATACGGATAAGGATTAATACCTTAATACTTAATATAATAAGGTTGAATTAGAATCTATAATTAACCATTATTACATTTACTGTATACCATGAGCATGAATTTAAGCATATATTATCAGATCAACCATCAGAATATTATTACAGCTACAAATCCCATTTATATGATAAACATCAAAATATAACAATATATATTAGTCAGGTTGGGACTTGAGCTGTTTTGTGTTCATGAGATAGTGGAAGTCGAGGTAATATGGAAGCTCTTTTAGTGGGTTGAATTATGGGTTGAAATCAACAAAAACTATTACTAGAACTAACTCGGCAATAAACGCTTTTATGGAGTATGGCTGATTACAACTTATGATCAGAATCAACATTTCAACTGGCTTAAACTAAGCTGAACTTATAAACTAAACAAGAACCACCAATTACGACAATGAGGAACTAATCATGAAAACTAATTAATCTAAACTAATTAATCTAAACTAACTAGTCTAACATGACAGGTTATAGCATATGCTAGCAAAGTATGATGGCAGCAGGCAATACAAAGTGCTGTAAATACTAAACCCAGTCACAGACTGGTCAATCACGGAACAAACATGTTTTCCGCACAATTAATAAATGTGAACATCACAATCATAGTTGTATACTAACATGGACTTATAATATTACGTGTAAATCATCAATGCACGAAATCTTCAGAAACAATCTAACAGCACTAAACAGCATTGTGTCTCCTATACTTTGACAGAGAACTAAATCACTAGGATTACTCAATGTAGATTTATGGTGTGCTCATTATTCAAAGATGTGTTTGTGCCTCATTGTACTTTGATTGATGTATTCCTGCACCTGTAAGGTAGGACAAGATTAACAAGGGTTATGCTTGGAAGTTTTTGAAGACAGTGTGAAACTATGTGTAAAGGTATGTGTGTGTTCAGCCTGAATGCTTGTTTCCTTGATGTCAGCTGGCCAACTGCTTTGCCACACAAACGTCGCCGGAGATGAAGGGCAAGGTCATCATGAGGCTGCAGAACATCACGGAGGTGCAGAACACCCTGGAGAGATTGCTGGCCGGTACGTACAGTTCTGTGGAAGTCATACAAAGAGTGAATATGCTATATTGAAAGATAGAATACAAAATTGTGTTTATAACTGAAAAAGATTTATCGAGGTGTTCTCAAACGCAGATATTCGGCATCAGGTCTACAGCAAATGTCTGATATAATTCCCAAATTGAAATTAAAATTTCACAATTCAAGATTTTATTGAAGGAAATGTTTTAGCATTGCAAATGGGACTTGTATGTCTCTGTTACCAGGACCAATACCAACTTTAATACTCAGTTTTACATTATTGCATTATTTCAATGCTAAAATACCTTTAAATATTAGAACAGAAGGTCTTTATTTACAAATGTCCAATATGGTGTTTTTTCCCACTTGCCTGACAATGGCATTAAAGACTAAATTTTCTGTGCTGGAAAAGCAACTGCACTCGTCTTTAGTTTGGAATAAAAATGAAAAACATACTCAATACTGCATGTGATTTACAGTTACCCCAGGGTTCAGACCTCCAGTTGCAAACTTTGACCTTGAAGAGACCCAGCAGGTGGAGCCCAGCAGTTCTCGTGGAGCAGACGGCAAGAAGAAAGGGAGGAAACCAGGGAAGAAGTAAGACATGCATTTATGTCACTGAAACAGCTCAGCACTGAACAAAATGGTCTGTAGCTCTAGGTAGGAGACAGATCAAATTTAGGTCATTTTACTTGAAAATGAAGGAAATTTTGTGTTGCTTCTGCTAGTCATTTGTATCAGAAATTGAACTTTGAATCCTTGTTTGCATGTTATGATGATGATGATTATGATTATTATGATGAGGGCAATGTTGGCTGGATAGTCATAAACTTTGAAGAGGCGGTTGGGTGGCCTAGTGGTTTGCACGTCACGCTGAATATTTGGGTTTGATTCCCAACATGGGTACAGTGTGCGAAGCCCATTTTCTGGTCCATGCCATGAAATTGCTGGAATGTTGCTAAAAGTAGCGTAAAGCAATACTCACTCACTCATTAACCGTGCTGAGATAATCATTGGTAGAATAGGTAATTTAGAGGCTGAATGTTTGGCAGAACATGATAGGAACAGCACTCAGATGCGTGTCTGCTGGGAAGACTTGGCCGAATTCATCCTGCATGCTGCTATTTGGTCATGTGAACAATGATCCAGTAAAGAAAATAGTCCAGTCTTCTTCCTTTGTACACTGTATTGTGCAAAATGAGTTGTATTCATTGATGTGTTACAGGAAACAGTCCGAGAAGGAGAATATTTCAGCCGACTTGGATGAGAACAGCCGAGATTCCACACAGTCTGTGAGTTTGCTGTGGTAGCTTCGTCCTTATCAGGGGCGGTGGGGTAGGCTAGTGGTTATAGTGTTTGCTCTTATAGTGTTTGCTCATCACGTCGAAGACCCGGGTTCGATTCCCGACATGGGTACAACCTGTGAAGTCCATTTCTCACTCACTAATCATGTGGGACATTCTCATGTTTAGTAGTGGTGGGTTTACAAACAAGTTGGGTGACACATAGTTGAGATTACTCTACATGGGGTGGAGACACTGATTTGGATGCAGACAGTTTCACCTCGTCATTTTCACCTGTTTTCCTGATTTCCTGATATATAGTGACACCTTGTCAATCAATTTTCCAGTTAACTCAAGCATTCGGACGATGTCCTGTCTTTGTCTTCACTTGGACATTCCTACTTGAGGTTTCCATACTAACAAAGTACTTTATGGTAAAGTATAGTTATAGTGTGTTGTGACCTTCTGCTGTAGCTGACTCTTTGTTTCCAGGAGACCCAGAAGCCAAGCCAGTCAGGGGGGACCCAGCTGAAGGAGGGGGACAAGGAGGAGAAGATGGTCAGTCTGTCCACCTACACACAGTACTTCAGGTCAGTCTGTCCACCTACACACAGTACTTCAGGTCAGTCTGTCCACCTACACACAGTACTTCAGGTCAGTCTGTCCGTCTACACACAGTACTTCAGGTCAGTCTGTCAACCTACACACAGTACTTCAGGTCAGTCTGTCCACCTACACACAGTACTTCAGGTCAGTCTGTCCACCTACACACAGTACTTCAGGTCAGTCTGTCCGTCTACACACAGTACTTCAGGTCAGTCTGTCCACCTACACACAGTACTTCAGGTCAGTCTGTCCACCTACACACAGTACTTCAGGTCAGTCTGTCCACCAACACACAGGACTTCAGGTCAGTCTGTCCACCTACATGCAGCACTTCAGGTCAGTCTGTCCACCAACACACAGTACTTCAGGTCAGTCTGTCCACCTACACACAGTACTTCAGGTCAGTCTGTCCACCTACACGCAGTACTTCAGGTCAGTCTGTCCACCTACACACAGCACTTCAGGTCAGTCTGTCCACCTACACACAGTACTTCAGGTCAGTCTGTCCACCTACACACAGTACTTCAGGTCAGTCTGTTCACCTACACACAGTACTTCAGGTCAGTCTGTCCACCTACACACAGTACTTCAGGTCAGTCTGTCCACCTACACACAGTACTTCAGGTCAGTCTGTTCACCTACACACAGTACTTCAGGTCAGTCTGTCCACCTACACGCAGTAGTTCAGGTCAGTCTGTCCACCTACACACAGCACTTCAGGTCAGTCTGTCCACCTACACACAGTACTTCAGGTCAGTCTGTCCACCTACACACAGTACTTCAGGTCAGTCTGTCCACCTACATGCAGTACTTCAGGTCAGTCTGTCCACCTACATGCAGTACTTCAGGTCAGTCTGTCCACCTACACACAGTACTTCAGGTCAGTCTGTCCACCTACATGCAGTACTTCAGGTCAGTCTGTCCACCTACACACAGTACTTCAGGTCATTCTGTCCACCTACACACAGCACTTCAGGTCAGTCTGTCCACCTACACACAGTACTTCAGGTCAGTCTGTCCACCTACACACAGTACTTCAGGTCAGTCTGTCCACCGACACACAGCACTTCAGGTCAGTCTGTCCACCGACACACAGTACTTCAGGTCAGTCTGTCCACCTACACACAGTACTTCAGGTCAGTCTGTCCACCTACATGCAGTACTTCAGGTCAGTCTGTCCACCTACATGCAGTACTTCAGGTCAGTCTGTCCACCTACATGCAGTACTTCAGGTCAGTCTGTCCACCTACATGCAGTACTTCAGGTCAGTCTGTCCACCTACACACAGTACTTCAGGTCAGTCTGTCCACCTACACACAGTACTTCAGGTCAGTCTGTCCACCTACATGCAGTACTTCAGGTCAGTCTGTCCACCTACATGCAGTACTTCAGGTCAGTCTGTCCACCTACACGCAGTACTTCAGGTCAGTCTGTCCACCTACACACAGTACTTCAGGTCAGTCTGTCCACCTACATGCAGTACTTCAGGTCAGTCTGTCCACCTACATGCAGTACTTCAGGTCAGTCTGTCCACCTTCACACAGCACTTCAGGTCAGTCTGTCCACCGACACACAGTACTTCAGGTCAGTCTGTCCACCTACACACAGTACTTCGGGTCAGTCTGTCCACCTACACACAGTACTTCAGGTCAGTCTGTCCACCTACACACAGTACTTCAGGTCAGTCTGTCCACCTACACACAGTACTTCAGGTCAGTCTGTCCACCTACATGCAGTACTTCAGGTCAGTCTGTCCACCTACACGCAGTACTTCAGGTCAGTCTGTCCACCTACACACAGTACTTCAGGTCAGTCTGTCCACCTACACACAGTACTTCAGGTCAGTCTGTCCACCGACACACAGTACTTCAGGTCAGTCTGTCCACCGACACACAGTACTTCAGGTCAGTCTGTCCACCTACACACAGTACTTCAGGTCTGTCTGTCCACCTACATGCAGTACTTCAGGTCAGTCTGTCCACCTTCACACAGCACTTCAGGTCAGTCTGTCCACCTACATGCAGTACTTCAGGTCAGTCTGTCCACCTACATGCAGTACTTCAGGTCAGTCTGTCCACCTACACACAGTACTTCAGGTCAGTCTGTCCACCTACACACAGCACTTCAGGTCAGTCTGTCTACCTACACACAGTACTTCAGGTCAGTCTGTCCACCTACACACAGTACTTCAGGTCAGTCTGTCCACCTACACACAGCACTTCAGGTCAGTCTGTCCACCGACACACAGTACTTCAGGTCAGTCTGTCCACCTACACACAGTACTTCGGGTCAGTCTGTCCACCGACACACAGTACTTCAGGTCAGTCTGTCCACCTACACACAGTACTTCAGGTCAGTCTGTCCACCTACACACAGTACTTCAGGTCAGTCTGTCCACCTACATGCAGTACTTCAGGTCAGTCTGTCCACCTACACACAGCACTTCAGGTCAGTCTGTCCACCTACACACAGCACTTCAGGTCAGTCTGTCCACCGACACACAGTACTTCAGGTCAGTCTGTCCACCTACACACAGCACTTCAGGTCAGTCTGTCCACCTACACACAGTACTTCAGGTCAGTCTGTCCACCTACATGCAGTACTTCAGGTCAGTCTGTCCACCTACACGCAGTACTTCAGGTCAGTCTGTCCACCTACACACAGTACTTCAGGTCAGTCTGTCCACCTACACACAGTACTTCAGGTCAGTCTGTCCACCGACACACAGTACTTCAGGTCAGTCTGTCCACCGACACACAGTACTTCAGGTCAGTCTGTCCACCTACATGCAGTACTTCAGGTCAGTCTGTCCACCGACACACAGTACTTCAGGTCAGTCTGTCCACCTACACACAGTACTTCAGGTCAGTCTGTCCACCGACACACAGCACTTCAGGTCAGTCTGTCCACCTACACACAGCACTTCAGGTCAGTCTGTCCACCTACACACAGTACTTCAGGTCAGTCTGTCCACCTACATGCAGTACTTCAGGTCAGTCTGTCCACCTACACGCAGTACTTCAGGTCAGTCTGTCCACCTACACACAGTACTTCAGGTCAGTCTGTCCACCTACACACAGTACTTCAGGTCAGTCTGTCCACCGACACACAGTACTTCAGGTCAGTCTGTCCACCTACACACAGTACTTCAGGTCAGTCTGTCCACCGACACACAGTACTTCAGGTCAGTCTGTCCACCTACACAC